GAAAACGTCGATAAGGACAAGACCGGGTTGCTCGATTGGCTTGCGGCAAAAAGTTGGTCGCCAGTACGGAAGATTTCTGAAGAAGAATATTTGAAACTCAAGGAGGATAAGCTAAGAGCAAAGGGCATAGACACATCATTGATAAATAGTCATAATGAATTAAACGATTCCGATGGGAAAGATTGAAACATCATTTCCCGATTTCTCATATATCCCTTAACCGGAGATGTTCTATTAGAACAGCTCGAGCCAGCTAATCAAGCCACCCGTTGCCACAGCCTCAATGAATTATATAAGGAAATTGGCAACAATAATTAATGACACATTAGTTCGACTCGTTTAAATTTTTTTATTTTTATTTTCAGAATCTCTCAAATTATTATCATGTGTTGCATGTTTCCAAAATAAAATAATTATATGTATACCCACCAATCTGGTGCGAAAGAAAAAGCTTCAGATAAGGAATGATTTTTGCCACCGAATTACGTAAATCATTTGCATATGATTTTTAAACAGGATCATAAAAATGACCAACGTATTTCCCCAAATGACGGATGAACTCGAACACTTTTACTATCAACCTCGCGCGTACCTTTATGTAAATAGCTAATGTCAACTTCCAGGGTAAACCCAACTTTTTACCTAGTGGTCTTAACGGTGGCCCTCAGTTGTATAATAATAACCCCGCTCAGAGTCTGTGAGGCATCACCGTATGCTAACGACGCTCCTTACCCTCCTGAAGGCAACAACAATTCAACTGAAAATGAAAATCATGCCAACGACCAAAGCGAAACGGCCGTATATCACTTTATTGTTGAATTTTTAATTCAGCTTGTTTACTATTTATATAAGTTTTTATACTGGCCGTGCTACGCACCATTTTATATATTGAACGCACTTTACATGGCTTTTGTATACACGCCCACAGTTTACGTATGGAAAGTATTATCATTATTTTCCCCATTACTCGCATTCTGTAGTGCCGCAGCATTTTTTGGAATTTGTATTGGAGCCACGGCGGGATGGTTCTCGGAGGTGATTATAGGGGTGTTGACCGCCCCGAGTAACGATGAAGTAGCATTAAACGAATTAAAGAAAAAAAGACACGTGGCAAAACTGAGAAGGCAACTCGCCAATTTGAAGGCTAGGAATGGAGGGAGAATTCCCAAAGAGTTTTATCGACGTCAAGGCGCTACCCTTCGAAAGAATATTTTGCAGAATGGCATGTTTGATGATTATGGAAGCGATTATCGCAAGGATTATTCCGCCGGGGGGGAGTGAAGGGAATGCAATTCCGTTAATATAGGAGTAGCAAAGGAAACGAACTATTGGATATGCATAACCAATTAACATTGAAATCTTTGGACATTATATTAATAAAATTTTTAATTATTGAATATTTTTATCCGTAAAAGGCAATCAAATTACTGCCGCGCCTCCGTGGACGTTTATGAATTTGCAGCGAACTTTGGCAAATCTCGACTATAGTAACCATTTATTTTCCACCCCTCACTTATGCCTTTCTTCTTATCAATCATTCTGCGTTGGAACGCTACATATTCAATTACATCATAAACTTTTAATGGATTTCCGCCAATTAGTTTTCCATTCCGATTAAAGATTGCAAGGCTCTAGGTGTTTGATTAGTGAATTCTGTTAAGATGGTGATGTTAAATTTCGGTGAAGGAGGTGGAACAAGGTGACTTACTTGTTTTGTGTGTAGTTTCAATATTGATTGCACGACGGAGAAATCCTCTCCTTTATTGTAACGAATGCATTCGTACTTCGGCTTCTTTGCATCGCCATGAATCTGCCAATAAATTTTACCGTCGTACTCTCGATGATTTTTCAGCTCAAATTTAAGTTTCTTTTTTACGCCACGTTGTAAATCATAATGGAAGAAAAAAATTTTCTTTCTAAAAAGGGAACAGATAAAAAAACAAAAAACAAAGACACATGCATATTAAACGAAAAGGAACATACATAGTACATCGGATCACTGACGAGATTGCGCAACGCTTTCAGGTTTCCCCTGATTATAGGAATCAACGGTCTTTAAATCGCAAAAGTTGGATAGATCGAAACAACGATCATAAACGATTGTGAAACCTTACAAAGAGTATTGTTTGTTCATCTCGGTGTACATCTCCAGAGCTTCCACCTTCCCTATTAAACCGCCCTCCTTGGCGGACATAAATCGCACGCGACTGATGAGAAAAAAAAAACAGGGTGATTTTCGCGTTTCAACGGTGATCGGCATTCTGATCGATAAGAAAACCTACTGTTGTAGATTTTTTCCTTTGTTAAGTAAATATTCTCTCAGCGTGCGGAAGAAATCCCTTGAAAAGAACGAAGGCCATTTGCTGGGAGAGCAATAAGGATCTTGATATGATGGGAAAATGATTGATTGAATCAGCTAATGGTGAATTGTTATCAAACCGAAACCGAAACCCACCAATAACGCCTAGGTTTTCCACACTCTCATATCCCATGCTCGTTGGTGAGTCACTACCAACATCAATGGCAGTATAATTTCTAGCAATCAAAAGTCCTGGGAAGAAACGTGAACCTCGGGGGTAAAAAAGATCGGTTTTGCGAACTCTCGAGACGCGTAAAGATTCATCCCGACACACAGCCAAAAGAGTAGTTCGCATGTTGAGGATAATCTAATCTGAAAATTGCAAACTGATCTTTCTAAAAAAAAATATTCCGAAATAAGATGCTACCTTATTTGGATGCAACAGCAAACGCCATTCACAAATTCCGGAAGATTTCCTTATTTGGATGACATTTATTACAGTTTCCAAAAATACATCGTCCTCATTTAAACTTACTGCTGAATTGAGCTTTACTTAGCCATAACACTCTTGACCGACAAACTCGTTAGTAGATTTTTTATTAAAAAAAAAAAATGAATATGAAGAATCGGTATTTTAGAATTGTT